TTTTAATTTTCTTATTTAAAAAAAAAAAAAAAAAAAAAGGAAGGAAAAAGAAAAAATGCAAACATTATTAAACGACAAAAAAAAAATATTGAACAAACGGATCTGGCCGTGTCCAGCATAAATATAATTTTTCGAGATTGGAGGAGGGGAATAAATGATTTTGGAGATTGTTGGTTTTTTGGTTTGGTTTGGTTTGGTTTCTTGGGTTGTTTTTTGTTTGGGTTTTTTTTGGTTACTTTTGGGTGTGGGAGGGAAGGGTGGAAAGGAATGGTGTGGGGGGGTGAACAAGGACATGAGAAGAAATCTCGGAGAAAAAAAAAAAAATCCATAATAAATAAAGAGAGACTATTGCCATATATGAACTCAAAAGCTACCCATGGTGTTTACTCTGCATATCTGGTCGTGTTGTCTCTAGAATCCGTCGTCTTGCAGTAAGTTGTTTGCTAACAACGCAGTGAAAGTGTCTGATGGGTGGTGCTGAAGAAAATTATCATGGAAAGCTGGTTCCCTTGGATCTGGCTCCAGTATTTGCAATTGAACTGAAGAATAGATGGGTTTGGGTCTGTTCTGATCAGCCATTGGCTTTATTTGAGAATATCACTTAGTATGCATTAGCCCAGCCAAAGTATGGTTAATGGGTTTTGAAGATTACAAAAAGAATGCTTAAAAAAATGGTTAGCCATTCTGAGCTGAATATACCATGCAAAAATAAAGGAGCCTTCCTCTGGGTTCTGGTTCTGTGACTGATTGCAATGCATGCAAAAAATAATAATAAATCAGTTTAATAAAGATCAGAAAGACACCACTGGAGTTCAACTTGTGACAAGACCCATAAATGTCAGAAAAGCTAAACACTTGTAAAAGAATGCAAAATACATAGTTTTTTTGACATAAAACTGTTTTTCATATGTAATACTTTAATTTTGTAGCTTGACATTTCAGATCATCTCTGTCCTTCCATTTGCCCTATTCTCCCTTTTCCTTCTCTTTTATATAAAATAAAATAAATAAAGCTGCTGTGACACACAAAAAATAATAAAGACAAAGGAATTTAATAATATAATATATATATATACACACAGATATATTTATCATGGTATGTTTGATGGGACGACTGGAACAGAAGTTCTGTTATGGTCTTAACGTGGAATGAGAATGTTCTTGAAGAACAAAGTAAAATGAAACAGACAACAAAAACAAACCTTAAAATGTGAAGAGAGTGTGTGTTTTAGCTTTGTCACAGTTACCTGTGTCAAAAAAAAAAATTCTGAAATTTTGTTTACATATTTTACTACTATTTTTTTTGCTAGTATAATTTCTATATGGAAACCCTGATGGTGTATATACTGTCTTATGGTTAAATTGGGAATGTCTTCTGTTTTTATTTAACTTATTTAATTTGGTTGTTTGGTTTCTACATTTTCCCAGTTATTGTGAAAAGGATTATCTTACTGTACAGAACAACAGCCAGGTGGTTTGACGGCCATGCCTGTCATGTGCAAAAAAAAGCAAATGAGGGAGAGAGAGACAGAGAGACAGAGAGGAAAACAACAAAACCTAAGATGGATTGAGAACTCTGGAATATCAGAAATGTACACTTTTTCTGTATACAGATGAAAACTAATCAGCTGTTTAGGTTTAGAAATCTACTCTTGCTGGTGTTTATAAGTCGCATGAATATTTGACTTTGAAGAAGTGTCATCAAAAACACACACGCACATGGGAACTTAAATTCAAAAAACCAGCCTTCTCAAACATTTAGAGAAGACGCTTTCATGTTAACAAATATTTTCAGTGCGTGTATGTGTGCGTGTGTGTGGTGCGTGTGCGTGCGTGCGAGGTTGAGCTTTTTTTTCCTTTTTTATTTTTTATACTAAAAAGAAAAAAAAAGACAGGTTTTAAAAAAGGTATGAAAGCACGATTTTAGATGACTTAACTGGCCGAAACTATATAAAGTTGATTATATCTTGATGTCTGTAAAAGATTGCTGTTCTTGGAGTCTTGGAGTCTTGTGAAATGATTTCCCGCTTTCTTTCTTCCTTTCCTTTTTGCTTTCCTTTTTTAAGTTAAAGGAAAAAGATTTACATTTTCCTTTTTTTGTGTAAGTTTCTATTGGACAGTTTTTGGGAACATGTGCATTTCTGTATGTGGGCTTCTACCATACCCCTGTTGCTTTACAGACAACCTTAAGGATTTTTATTTGAGTTATCGTGATGTTATTGCTTTTTTACCCTTTCTTTTTCTTCTTCCTTTTTGATTCTTTTTCTTTTCTTATTTGCATTTTGTTTAAAGATATGCTTAGCAATAAAATGTTCTTCCCAAAGCCCTGGATGTTGCTGGGTTTTTATTTCCAAAACACTTCAGCGAAATTCCAGACCTTTAAAGGTGAAAATTAGTCTGTGAAGCAGGTATCCCCCATCCTTCTTTCCTTGACAGGGGTATAAATTCAACTTGAGTGTGGGGTCTACCTCACACCACTCCCAACCCCTTGTCTCCTGCCACAGCCTCAGTGAGGTAGAGTAGTTCTCTGGAATATGGGTTTCAGTGACCTCAGATGAAAACATACCCAGGACACTGACTTGGAACACCCTTTCTAATATATTGCCTGTTTTGTCTCCCTTTGAAGTATGTAGCTCTTCCCAAGACATTACTGGATTCTGGATTCCTCTCCTGTGGCCAGGAGTCTATGTTTGATGTGCTGCTGAATTCTGTTGGGGATTTGGCTAGCCAATTTGATACAGAAAAGCGTTCTCATCATTTTATATGAAGGTCTAACTTGGGTCCTCTGAATTTATCTTTCTCTGCACTAGCTAAGGAACACAGTTTACTTACTTTGAGTGCTACGGATTAGACTTGGGTACCTAAAGTACATGGTCTGAGTACTCACTTCCTTCCAGGTAGGCTCAGCGGCTCCCAACCCCCCCGATCACAGCTGCCCCTTGTTGTCCTGCTGGGCATGAGAGACTATTATGATTCTGGCCATCATGCAAATTTGCCAATAGCCTGCAAGAGTTGACTTTTTAGAGGCATCTGAAAGTCAACCAAACAAGTGTTTCACGGCCCTTTCGTTTTTACCCACAGATGACTTCAACTTTTTCTTTTTTTTTCTTCTTTCTTTTGTACTAGGCAGAATCCACAGCTCTTTTGAGCAGTGTTTTCCACAGGTTTCATTTAGAACCAAATTAGACTCAGGATAAACTGATTGTTCAGGTATTCACTGTGATTTTCTATACTGTTTTTGCTTACAGGCTTGCATTGGTGAGAATATGTATGTGTATGTACATGTGAGGTTTTTTTAATTTTACTGTTCTCAGTTCTTACGTGAATCATGTGCTGCCACCTTACAGATCCTCACAAATCTCAAAACCACAGTCTGAACTCCACTCTCGTTTCCCTCCCTAAATCATGAAATTCCTGAGTGATGACTGGTACTTAATATTCCCAGTATTGGGGCTGTCAGCTGGCATATAGGAGATCTAGGTCTGAACTTAATTGCCTCTTCTAATATTGCAGAAAATTTCCTTATGTCCAAGCAGTTGGTGTTCTGAGAAAAGCATATTTTATTTTTTTTTACTCTGTGCTTTTCTCAAAAGCTGTTAGATTTTTATATCATTATGAAATATTACGTAAAGCAAGAAATTTCAACCTGATTTACCCTAACCTTCTGGCTATAGTCACTCTTTCTTTCATTTTCTCTGTCATCTAATGACCATTTTATTACTTAGGCTGAATGAAAGTGTCAGATAGGAGATTTCATTGTTGCCTAAAAGGCTCGGGACTATTGTGTGTCTTTGGCTGATCACAGAATCACAAAATTGTTGGGGTTGAAAGGGACCTCTGGAGATCATCTAGTCTACCTCCCCAAAGCAGAGTCAGCTACAGTGAGTTGCCTAGGACTGTGTTGAGTCAGGTCTTGAATATCTCCACATGTAAACTCTACAAACTCTCTAGGCAACATGTTTTAGTGTGACCACCCTCATTGTAAACAATTTTTGTTGTGGTTAAACAAAATTTAACATTTCTTAATTTGTTTCCATCTCCTCTTGCCCTTTTTCTGGGTACCACTGAGAAGAGCCTGGCTCCCTCTTCTTTACAGTCTCCTCTCAGGTGTTTATACTTACTGACACGATTCCCCATAAGCCTTCCCTTCTCAAGGTTGAGCAGCCTCAGGTCTCTCAGCCTCTCCTTGAACAACAGATGCTTCAATCCCTTATTAATCTTCATGGCTTTTTGCTGGACTTACTCCAGTAACTGCAAAATCTGAAGCAGACACAATTGCATTGCGTTACCACCATTGATGAGCTCAGGATATAGCTCTTCTCAAATACCAGGGCTTGGTAAGTTGCTCCTCTTCTCACCATTTTCTACTGGTAAGCAACATTCCACTTACTGTATCACTTCTTGAAGATCCCTGTCTTAGATACCTAGTTCTACTATTCCCCAAACTTTTCAGCACATTGCTGCTTATTGCACAGTTGCAGGGTTTCTT